AAAAATAAAAACGAACACAAAAGTCTGTGTGGGCGTTAGTTGATCATAGTGTATCCGTATTAGTTCACTCCTGGTGAGAAATGTTCCATGATGCTCATGTAAGAGGTTAATAAAGGGGAAAGCTGGATATTGGAACATGCGCGTGGGAATCCCACTAGGCTGTTGTTTCTCCACTTTTCTGTAAATCTCATAAAAAATTTAATACAAAAATTCCATCAAAATCTTAAATAAAGGGCTGAGGATGTAGCTTAGTTGAAGAGCACTTGCCTCGCATGTGCAAGGCCTTGGGTTTCAATCCTGGCAAGGGGAGGGGAATGGGGGGGAATGGGGGGAAATGGGAGGGGGGAGGGGGGAGGAACTACACTTAAAAAAAAAAAGATTTAAATAATGACGAAATTTGACTTTGTACTTGCACAGACCTGAGAGAATGAGATCCTCTGCCTCACCATGATCCTGGCCCCCCTGGAGGGAATTCAGTTGTCCCTGGGGGTCAGGGAGATTTGATCCTAGGACCCCACCTCCACCCCACAGATAGCCAACCACAGATGCCCAAGTGTCTGGTATAAAATGGGGTAGTATTTGCATTTAACCTACACATATCCTCATGAATACTTTAAATTGTTTCTAGATTACTTATGATACCTCATAAAATGTCAATGGTTATTATAATGCACCGTTTAGAGAACGAGGAGGAAAAAGAGTTCTGCACATGTTTGATATGGTAGTAAATTTTTTTCCCCAAATATTTTCCATTGGAGGTTGGTTGGATCCCCAGATCCAGAACCTGTGGCTCTGGAGGACCAACTGTTCTTGCTTATTGCAGAACATCCGGGGAATACAGAAAGGATAAAGAAGAAAATACAAAAGGCTCGGAAGCCACCTCTACAGGTTCACACCACCATGCCTGGATAATGTTTTTAAGGCTCTTTATGTATTTCCCAGATGCCCTTCAAAATGATTGCACGACTTTTACCTGTTCACTCTCCACATGAAAAGTACACATTTCCCCACAATCTCAACAACCTTAAAGACTCTTTTTAAAATTACATGTTGCTGGGGCTGGGGTTATAACTCAGTGGTAGAGCACTGGTCTTGCACCTGTGAGGCACTGGGTTCGATCCTCAGCACCACACAACAATAAATAAATAAAATAAAGGTATTCGGTCCACTTACAACTCAAAAAAAATTTTTTTTTAATTAAATTTTGCTAATTGGACAAATGGAAAAAGAGTTACTTGTCTTAAGTTACTCACTTTTTTGTGGATGAAATTGCTCACATGGCTCGTGCAATTTTCCTGTTCCTATCCTTTGTCCGCTTTTCCATTATGCTATTTGTGATTTTCGTTTGATTTAAAACATCTCTTTACATATCAAAGACATTATAGTTTGTGATAAGTTTGTTGGTGGTGGTAGTGATGTTGGTGGTGGTACCAGGGATTGAACTCAGGGACACTTAACCACTGAGCCACATCCATAACCCTTTTTATATTTTATTTAAAGACAGGTTCTTGTTAAAATTACATTTTGCTGGGGCTGGGGTTGGAGCTCGGTGGTAGAGCACTTGCTTAGGGCCTTACCAAGTTGCTGAGGCTGTCCTTGAATTTGTAATCCTCCTGCCTCAGTCTCCTGAGTTGCTGGGATTACATGCTGGACTGCTGTAAGTTTTTAAATTCTTCGGAGCTACCTTCATTTCTCACCTGTCGTTGCAACAGGCCCTGACTCCTGCCCACCTCCGTGCCTCCCCACCTCAGCCTTATGCCCTCCTTCTTAGACACAGTCTTTTTTTTTCCCCCCCCAACTCTTCAAACATATGAGTACAGCCCCTCCTCAGAGCCTCTGACCACTCTCTCTCCAGTCTGCTGTTCTCTCCCCCCCACCCCACCCCCCGGCTCTTTGCGTGGTCAGTTCTTGCTCATCCTTTAGATATCAATCGAGGTGTCACCTCTTATAAAAAACTGCTCTGACCAGCCCACCTAAAGCGGCCTCTGTCCCTTCGCCTACCCACTATTACTCTATAGCCATCTCCCTGTGGATACTCTCAGCACTTGGCTTGAAGCCTTGTGGGTGCTCCACCACAGAGTGGGTGCTCAGCAGCTCAGGGTTTGTGAAATGCATGAAGGAAAAGACGGCTCCTCCCACAGCCTGTCATTCCTCCATCCCTCCTTGAGCCTGCAGTTACCGCAGTTACCACCTCTCTCGAAGGATACAAGTCCCCCTGGTAGGGTTAATACCCAATGTCAGCTAATGTCTTCCTCCTGCCTCTTCTTTCCGGTCCACCTGTCCCATATCTTATTGGAAGCTTTCTATGTGCCAGGTCCTGCTGCTCCAGCATGGGCCCTGCCCTCCTGGGGCTTACAGTCAGAGAAGGGAGATCCTGACCTCACTCCTTCCTGAGCAGAAATCCACCAGAATCCAGTAACACTCAGCGAAGGTGAGTAGGGAACCTGACGAATCTAGGCCTGGAGGTGGAGGGCGCAGGAATCTGGGAGAGAAGGAAAGATGCCCCAGTCTTTTCAGCAATTGCCTTGGGGGACCCCACTGATCTGCTCACATGCACCTCCAGTTAGTCCTTCCTGGTCGGGTGGGCCTCCTGCTCCATTCCTTATCCTCGCCATCTCCCTCCTTCCCCAACCCCAAAATCTAGAAATCCCGGGCTGCTCTCAGGTGAATCTCGGAGGCCTCTGAACTAGATGTAGATCCTCACAAAGAGTCTCACAAAGACATCAGCCATTTGTCATAAGTTTGTTGTTATTGTTGTTGGTGGTGGTGATGGTGGTACCCGGGATGGACCAGGTACCTGGTACCTGGTGTTACCAGGGGTTGAACTCAGGGATGCTTAACCACGGAGCCCCATCCCCAGCCCTTTTGATATTTCATTTAGAGATGGGGTCTCGTTAAGTTGCTTAGGGCCTTGAACATCACCCAGTCCTGATGTTCAGCCTGCCCCCAGCCTCAGTGGGCCACACGTACACGGGCCCAGAGCCAGCAACTCAGGTGGACGGAGGTGCCAGTACCCCAACACAGAGGAAGAGGAATTCCTCAAAGGCACGTAACTCCCCTAGACCCCAACACTAACCTCCCCAGCTCCCAGCCCAGCCTGTGCCGTGTCTCAGGGGACTGGACGTGGGTGGCAGAGTCAAAGGGACATAGGTTCAAATCTGACCCCACACCGAGCACTTCCCGTAGCCTCAGTTTCACAAAATGAGGGTGCAAGTCCTCTACTCCCCAATAGCTTAAAGGGGATCCTGGTTACACCGCAGAGTGTTGGGGCCAGTAGCAAAAAAGAGGTTTCCTGCCCCTTCTCATGCTTGAAGCTTGCAGCCAAGAACGTGGCCAACGGCCCAGAATGGAGGGACATCCCATCTCATATCCACTGCTCCGGGCCCAGGAGAGGGCTCTAACTTCTTAGGATGAGTAACTGACACTGGCAGCTCCAGTGTCCAAATCTTGGCATGAAATCTGGCTTCTGGGTTCTTGTTGTCAGATTCAAACAAATAAGCAAGAACATTCCCAGAGAGACAGAGAGTCCACAGACCCTTCTGTCATGACATCTGGAAGCCTACCATCTCCTTCCAAAGGAGCCCAAACAAAGAGAAATGAATTGAGGATGAGTCCGTTTTCCCTTTTCTCCACGCTGCCGGGAAGCTCATCCTTGACAGTGAAGTCAGCTATGTGAGCCCCACTGGGTGATCTTTCTTTCCTAAGACCTCCTCTGGTGTGTGCACAGCGCATGCGCCCTCTCGATCTCTCACCCCCATTTTGTCTCTTCGTTTCTCTAGCTGATTCTCTTGTTCTCTCCACAATTCTGTCAAATTTCTTTTCCCTGGAGAACTAGGGGTTGAACCAACAACCCATGACAGCCACTCTAATAACCTCTCCTCGGATACTCACCATAGTCCCCGCCAAGGGAGACTCACTAACTATCTCCCCATTTCCTAGATGGGGAAATTGAGGCTCCAAGGGAGGCGGAAGCTTGTCCCGAATCACACGGTCCGTAACTAGAGAAGCCGAACCTGTCCTCCAGAGACCTGCCGGTGGGGGCTGTCCTGGGGACCCGGTGCCTCTAGCCCACCCCCACCCCATGCAGGGCCACCTCAGCCTGGCTCCAGCCCACCACCGTACCTTGAGTGTGTCCCCCTTGTTGAAGGCCAGCTCGTCGCTCTCCGTGGCCTGGAAACTGTACAGGGCCACGGACTCCATCCCGCTGTCCCCAAGCTCCTGCAGGCAGCTGGGCTCCGAGCAGGGCCGGCAGCTTCCTGCTTCCTCTGCAGTCAAGGACTGTCTTCCTTTGTTTTGAGTGTGTGTTTGTTCTTTGAAGCTGAGACCGAAACTGCCCTTGATGGGGGAGAAACAGGAAGCAGAGACATGTCACCGAGCAGGGAGGACGTGTGAGCCACCCAGTCGCTGCCTCTAACCCCCAGTGGCCAGGTGCAGCCCTGGAGGAAAATCCCCCTGCAGCCTGGAAATAGGGTACCTTTGTACCCACGTCACACATGATCAAACAGGACAAATCCCACAGATCCATCTTGCGCTGTGTCCTGTCACCTCCCGTTTTCTAAAACCCTTAGTCCCCCATGTTTCTCCGGCACCTGCCACATCAAGGCCAATCTCCTTATCTGACATGCAAGCCACCTGTGAATCACAACCACACGTAGCTTTCACACTCATCCTTTGGCCCCTGGGCTCCGGCCACAGTAGGTGACGCCACCACACTTTTATTCCATTCTCTAGACTTCTGCACACGCCACCCGCCTGCCTGCTGTTCCTCTCCTCTGTTCCCAGAGGACTGGTCCTATTCATCCATTAAAACCCAACGCAGAAGCTGGGGTGGTGGCTCAGTGGTAGAGCGATTGCCTAGTCTGTGTGGGCTCGATTCTCAGCACCACATAAATGAGCAAAATAAAGGCCCATCAACATCTAAAAAAATATTTTAAATAAGCAACAACAACTCAGAAGGAACCTCTTCTGCTTTAAACTCTGGGCACTATCTGTGCTATGTATCTGTGCTTTGTAAGGTCAAAAAGAAGTGCAAATAAACTGAGTTCAGTGGCACATGCCTGTAATTCCAGCAGCTCGGGAGTCTGAGGCAGGAGGATTGTAAATTTGAGGCAAGCCTAGGCAATTTAGTGATGCCCTGTTTTTTTTGTTTTTTTGTTTTTTTGTTTTTTTTAATATAAAAAAAAAAAGGTCTGGGAATGTGGATCAGTGGTGGTTCAATTCCCAGGGCTGCAGAAAGACTGCTTCTTGGGTGGGCATGATGGTGCCAGCCTGTAACCCCAGCAACTCCAGAGGCTGAGGCGGGAGGATCACATATTCAAAGCCAAACTCAGTAACTTAGTGAGATCTTGTCTCAAAATAAAAAATAAAAAGGGCAGAGGTTGTGGCTCAATGGTAAAGCACCCCTGGATTAAATCCCCAGTACAAAAAAAAGAGAAGTTTCTTTCTTCCTTCACAAATATTGACATGGATTTAGGGCTTCATGCTTTCATCAACTGATTATATATTATTATTATTATTTTGTGAACTCAGGGCCTTATGCATGCAAGGCAAGCACTCTACCAGCTGAGCTATAATCCCCAGCCCTATTATTTATTTTAATGGTCAAATTGTCCCTAATTTGGCCAATGTAATTCCTTCAAACTGACATGAACACATCCTGACTTTCTGACTTCTATATTCCTTTTTTTTTTCAGTGCTGGGGATTGACACCAGGGCTTCATGCATATTAGGCAAGCACTTACCACAGAGCTACACCCCTAGGCCCTGAAATGAGTTTTTCTTTCTTTTCTTTCTTTTTTAAATATTTATTCTTCTTAGTTGTAGTTGGACATAATACCTTTATTTATTTATTATTATGCGGTGCTGAGGATCGAACCCAGGGCCCCACACATGCGAGGCGAGCGCTCTACCGCTGAGCTACAACCCCAGCCCTGAAATGAGTTTTTCAATACATATTTTATAGTAGACAGAGCATTTGTACATATCTATATTTACTTGTCAATGTAGATATGGATAGAAAATAAGCTAAAAAACATGAACTCAATCAAATATGAATCAGTGACTGTCCTTGAAGGGTGGATGGGTGGTTTTGTACCATTTCATAGCTTTTTCTGAGGTTTTGAATTTTTTTTTCTATATAAAATGTTGAGATGTGGGCTGGGGTTGGGGCTCAGAGGTAGAGCGCTCGCCTGGTGTGCATAGGGCACTGGTTCCCACCTCAGCACCACATAAAGTAAAATAAAGATATTGTGTCCACCTATAACTAAAAAATA